TTTCCTTGAGTTGGAGTCTCACTCGGTCGCCCAGCCACCACTCCCGGCCACCGCAGCCTCGACCCGCTGGGCTCAAGCGATCCTTCCTCCTCAGTCTTCCAAGTAGCAGGAATTACAGCCTGGCTGATTTTTTGATTTATTGTAGAGATGAGGTCTCGCTGCCCAGGCAGGTCTCGAACCCGCGGGCTCAGGCAATCCACTCACCTCAGCCTCCCAAAGGCGCGGGATTACAGGCTGAGCCACCGAGCCCGGCTTATTTTACATCTTTGGTGCTCACCTTCCTTGTTCTGGTGGGAGGGGATGGAAGCTACATCTAACCATGCTGCAGATTTTGAAATGCCTAGACTAGTGCTCAAAGCAGACTGTTTTCTTGAGTCAGGACTTAGTCATCAAGAAGAGGCTCTGTTAGGTGCATATGATTTCCTCCTGCCAGTTTAAGAGGAAGGACACGTCATAGGATAGGGAGCAGCCACAAGGCTCCTTGTAAGAGAGCCCACTTTCTCACGACCATGCAGATTTTGATTCAGGAGCTTCAGGCTGAGGCCTGACACCGTGCATTTCTCACTCGCTCCCAAGTGACACTGACGCTATGGGCTCATGGACCACACTTTGAGTCCTGGAGAGCCCAAATGCAGCAGAGACAGCTGGTGGGGCCTCGGCCCAGCCTGCCACCTGGTCCACCAGCTCAATTACAGCTGGGGGGAACCCACAGAGGTTCCCACAGGTAGAAAAGATGCTAAAATCGCAAATAAGACCAAGTCTAAAAAAAACAAAACAACAAAAAAAGGGGCCCAAATAAATCACAGGTCTCTACCACCTCAGTTGTGACTGAGGACGGGCAACCCGGCCTCCGTTCCTCCCTGGCAATGCGGAGTGGGCACACAGACATGGGGCTGATCCGGGGTTCCTCAGGTCAGCACACAGGGCAGGGTCCCAGCTGTGCACAGGCTAGGCGTCAGGGGCAGAAGCCAGAAAATGAACATGATCGCCCACTTAGAAACTCGGGACAATGCCGGCCACCGCCTCCTCTCACACTGTCGGTGGCACAGAAACAGAATAAGATGACGACAAAGACACTCTTAAATCCTTGACATGCAGACCCTGCGCAAGTGCAGATGTCAACGTTCTCAACTCTCAACTGGCATCTCCACGCTCCCTCCTTCACACCCCTGTCACCTGGCACATTTACACAGACTGGTTCCACAAAACACTTTTTAAATGTGCATTTCTTTAATTTTTAAAAATATACACAGGAGAAGCCATGTGTTTTACATAGGAATACACACATTAACAAAGCATTTCTTATAGTTTTCCAAAACTCTATTATAATCAGTCCAATATTTATAAATTAAGTATATCAGAATTTTCAAAGTTAAAATGAAATCCCTGAAACTATGCTAGACTCTTTTCCAAAATCAAATGAACAGAGAATATGAATATGGTTCGTGTTAAATAAGGTTTATTGTTAGCTTTATTACCTATAGTCTATAAGATGCAACTTTATTGTGCCTTGCAAACAGGATACATTTCTTAAAAAACTGATCAAAATCTTCCATACATAGAGCTCTATATGATAGATTACAGTGCAACACTATTCTTGATACATAATTATAGAAATACTATTGAACCCAAGAGCACAGGGTAAGCAAAAGAAAAACAATCCTGAGCCATCTGAACAAGATGATTTAATGAATCCTTTTAGCATAAGTTCAGAAAACACAGAGGGAAGAAATCCATGCATACTGCAGTCACAGGCCAAGCGTCCCCAGCACCTGCTTCTCATCAGGCACCGGGAGCAACGGCGAGCTTCAGACACACGCACGCACTCACACTCCCATGTTCTTCTCCCGCTTCCTCCCAGACCCACCCACCCGCTCCTACCCCTTCCTAGAGGAACACCAGGCACGGAATCCTTGCGATCCCCTACGTCTGCCTTGCTGGAGAAGGCGGGGTGGAAAGGCGGGGTGGCCGCCACTGTGAGAACTGGTCCTCCCCCACAACAGGGAGCAAAGCATGTGCTGAGAGCCAAGTCCAACCGCTTTTGCCCCTGTGGAAGCAAAGCAAAAGAAGCACATGCCCACTGGGACTTCAAACTGCAGTGGAAACATCTCGAAAACAAAACTCTGTTTCTCTCGCTATGTCCCGAAGGAAAATCAACAGTGGAAAATTCACCCTAAAACTAACAGCCTCATCTGCCATTAAAACACGTTTGCTGTTCTATTTTTGGTATCTATTCAATTAAAGATTAAGAACAGTTCATGAAGCGTGTACCTGCTTATGACAAACACTGCTGCACCATGTAAAATCTGTTGCAGCTGGACAGGCTTATGAAACACCAGAGCTTCCGTGTTCCTTGCTAACATTCCTTCAAGACCACAGCATTCTAGTGTTACCCAAGAAAACACAGAGTGAAGCGATGAAAGGTATTTGGTCTGTGTCATCACCTCACACATCTTAGTGATGAAATCAACCAAACCATGCCTCCACGCCTTCCCTGAAAATAACCTGAGTCGGCTGACTAAACAGACTGAGCAGCATGGCTGCCAGTCCACTTTATCAGAGGTTGAGCTGGAAAACCAGAGGGCTGCTACAGTCTACCAGCAGCTTGTCTTGTGCAGAGAGCCAAGAGGGCTCGGTTTTTGCAGTGTCCAGGTCCCAAAGGCGGAAACCACAGAGGTGGAAAAAACTCACAGCATAAAGTATACTGAACGCCAACTGCACGGCCTGCAGGGCCACCTGGAGGGGGAAAAAAAGGATCCTGGTTCCCCACAAAACTCGGTGTGGGTTTTAGTGTCTCTGTGTATATTAGCTGCTACAGAAAAGCTCAAACAAAGGCTTACTTCGTAACGGTCTTATTTTCAGTTAAATGCTCACACACTCACAAAATACACACCCTATGAATATGAGGTGGCTCTTTTCTTCAAAATCCTTAAAATAAAGAGGCACCAATACCCGTTCATTTATGTATTCGAAGTCTCATATAATATCCAATAGAACAACAGAAATGGCATCTGCAAGGATCACACAAAGGAGAAAACAGGTGAAGACAACCTTAGCCACTGTAAAGACTGTCCTCAAAAACAGATGCTCCAGCCAAGTCGGAATCTCAGGGATGGATGATGAGGTTTCATTGACTCAGCACAGTCCCACAGCCTTTGTCCACGACTGATGACGGAAATGGTTTACAAAGAAACAGAAACCATTCTGAAATTGCTTTCAATGTACAGTGTTGTGACATATCTGACTGTGGCAAGCCTTGCCTCTAGTATTACCTTTCGTAAGTAGAGGCAGAGAGAGAGAGAGCACCCTCTGCACTGCTGACACACACACAGCATCAGCGATGACAGGGCTGCAACACTGTCTGTGGAGACGTTTTTAGAGCAGGAAGAACGTGGTGCTTCGGCATCTTTGGTTAAGGTCTGGCCTCTTCAAATCCACCTCTCCTTCACATTTAGTCTCCAGTGAATTTCCAGGCCATGCACTTAAAGGTCACGAGTCATAATTTTCATGTTAAACTGTCAGATCAACAGAGCTTCAGATTTTTGGCCCTTACCCTGCCCAGTGGGACCACAGGGACCTAATACAGAAAGTTGTAAAGCCTGCTCTTTTTAACGTTTTCAGGGGCTGCACAAAAAACTGTCGATAGTACTCCCGACACTAAGAGATGGACAGAGCAGAGCTCTGGCTTTTGTCCTTAAAAATGGCCAGAGCCAAGCCATGGAATATCTGGCCACCAAACACGTAGACTACCAGCCTCTAGAGCACATCTGTATCATTCAAACCTCATATGAAACCTAAATGTGGTGTCGGTGTTTGGGGTGGAAAGGAGAGAATTAGTTGTGAATAAAGCTGAACTTGGCCTAGGGAGAAGATTTTTAAAAATGACACTCTAGGGTTTTAATTCAAAGGACACACATGTGTATATGTATATAAAATACGCCAGTCCACACCCTCACTGGAGTGCTGCCTAGAACTCTCTGCCTTCTCTTTTCTGGCCCAAGGAGCTGCCTGCTCTCTTCCTTCGCTGATTTAGTAGAGAGGGGGGACTGGATGGAGAATTCCGACGGTGAGGCAGAAGCATGGGGCACGAGTTCCAGGGGGACCAGACTGAAGCCGGACAAGGCTGGTCCTGCGAGCCAGGCCCGTCACGACCCCTCGCCAGCCTACACAGCAGCACACAGAAGGCATCCATGTAGCCACACGGTCACCGCGCAGGACTGTTCTGCAGTACCCTTTCCCTTCACAAATGAACCCAGCTTTCCCAGGTGAACGTTTCAAAATAAACTGCCCAGCCCGGTGAGCTGCTGCAAATGTTCCCAGTTTCCAGTGAACTCAGCACCAGACCTGTTGTCCAGCCCCCAAACCAAGTCTGTCTGTATTTTAATGTGAAGCGCCACGTTTCCCTTTGCTTCTGTGTTTTCTTCTTCTTCTTTTCATTTTCTCACAGACGTATTCCTACTGACGTGCAGGTCCATGTCAGATGAAATAAAGTTGCAAAATATTTGGTGATTTTCATATAACATTCTTCTCATATTGAAGGAACTTCATGGGTTTAAATCAGAATTATGTTCACAGAAGTCTTTTCCATGTAGTTCATCATACAAAGACTCTACGCATGGCTATTTCTGGACAGTGCATTAAACGAAGAGATTTCATAAGAGAAAAGATCATCATCTGTATCCATTAGCATAATATACAGATTCACAGTCAATGAGATGATACACTTTGCAGAAGAGAGGCATCAAACAGTATACTATTCAAACACAAAAACAGCAATAAACATATTCTGCACTACTGAAAATCTGCTAGCTTCTACCCTTAAGGATTTAAAGTGATGGGTCTGGTAACTGCATTTTAGGACTGGAACATGCTTCTTCTCTCCCAGATACACAATGTTTGATGCTGGTGCACACAGATACACACATGCACAACACTGTGTCTGCAATGATATAACAGGACTACCAAGACCAAGAGAGCAAATATCAATTTTGGAACACTTCTAGCTTCAGAATTTCATTTTATTGAACACAGTTTTAAAACAAGCACCTCTTGGCAAGGAAAGCAAAAGAAAAAAAAATAATAATACTTCTTCCACTCTCTTCTAACAGAAGACTTCTGACACCAGCCTGCTAACTGATGACATTTTAAACAGGCAGCCTGCCGGTGCTACAAGCAGGGCTAAAATGCAGGCGTGCTGGCTTCTTAGAGCTGGAGCAGAGGAAAACATTAAAAAGCAAATTCTCACTCTATCACAGCTTTCTTCCCCAAGCAAATAAAAACGCAAATTAGTTTTATAAGCACAATTCAATTATCAAACATTTTCTGGAGAATTTTCATTTAATTATGTATTCAAGACAGGAAATAAAACTTTTTCATAAACACTCTCAAGGCTTATACTTGTCAGGAAAATGACGAAAGCAAAAGCAGGAAAATATTAAACACATGGCAGGGAGGTCAATTTGTTTCTGCTCTTAAAAAGTAAAAAAATCACCATATAATTAAGTACAAAAACCTGCATTGAATGACAACTGCTGGTGTATTTACTTGATCAGAAATGAAGACCAAGAATATAATAAAGCCCTATGACAGTATCCATCTGGAGCACTCCCCTCGTGTGTGTACACTACGTGTTGGCAAAGTTTCTGGAACATTAGCTTATATGAACAAGGGAGTCCTTGGTTAGCTGCATCAAATGGAACGTTCTCTTCTGAAAGGCGCCCACAATTCAGTTTCACTTACATATCGCAAACTAAAGTGACTTCCTTCAGAAAAATATCTGTTTGGCGTCTCCTGGACTTTGTTCCATTGGACAATATGGACATTTTAATCTAAAGGCAAGAAAGAAAATACGGAATCAAGGAACAGGTAAGTAGTAAGCACTCAATTTTCATATAGTTATAGAATATCTTCAGCAATTATACATACATATAAAAACACACAAACACAACATGTCCTTTGCTTTGAGGATTAGCTATGCTTTCCCTTAATATAACTGCCTAGCTTTGAAGGATCAAAAATAAATATTCCCCATGCCAGACCCTAACATGAAGGCCTCCTCCCCCAGTGGAAATCAGCAAAAATTGTCTTGTGAACAAAAAAGACAACTCTTCTGAAAACTGTGTTTTGGGTTTCAGAAGTAAATCCAATTTCTCTTCTCCAAAGGTTTAGGCTGTATTGATCTCTAAATGAATTTCCAATGTACTGGTCCCCAAATCCACTCACGAGCAGCAAATCTAAGGCCAGCTGCAAGCCCACACCCAGAATGGTACACGTGGCTCCCATCAGCACATAAAACCAGCACAGTCTGCGCTAAGATCAATGATCCCACTCGCTTTCCAAGTCACCACCAGCCTGTATCTGCCAGTGTTGCTGCACGGGCTGGGAAGGGCAGCAGCAGCTTCTTTACAAGCCAGGGTCAGCCCACAAAAGAAGGGCCTAGCTACAATGGGTCGGGAATGAACACCAGCAAAACTCTTTAGCTGCCTAAGCTAGAAACAGGCTTCTGAGTTTTTTTAAAAAGCAATCCGAGTTCATTATCTAGAAACAATTTACAAATATATGCCTTTTGAATCAGCAATTCCAATCTAGGAATTCAATATAATGTATAGACAAGGTACTAACATTTCACCTTGGCGCTGTTTAGAGTAACAACGACTTAAATGTTCATCAACAGGGAATTGGCAAAAATAATCAAACCATCATATTTCCATGTGGTAGAATACTCTGAATCTTTTTTTTTGAGTCAGTGTCTCACTCTGTTGCCCATGCTGGAGTTCAGTGGCACACTCATGGTCACTGCAGCCTTGACCAACTGGGTTCAGGTGATCCTTCCACCTCAGCCTTCCAAGTAGCTGAAACTACAGGTATGTGCCACCACCTAGCTAATTTTTTGATTTATTGTAGAGACCAGGTCTCACCATGTTGCCCAGGCTAGTCTAGAACCCGTGGACTCAAGCAATCCTCTAGTCTCTGCCTCCCAAAGTGTTGGGATAATAGGCGTGAGCCACCACCCCTGGCCAGTAGAATACCCTGACTCCTTAACAAAAAAAGAATGAGGGCTCTTTCTATAACATGTAAACAATCTCCAAACTGGCAAAATAATCAAATAATCATATTTCACATGGTAGAATACTCTGAATTTTTAACAAAGAATGAGGGCTATTTCTGCAGCACTTAACCAATCTCCAAGATATATTACTCAGTGAAAGCAGCAAATGTTAAACTGGTTATAGTACATACTACCATTTATATATAAAAAGGGGGGAAACGAATCAAGTACTCAAAAAGTTAAAAGTAAGCATCTCGCTTATAAACTACTCACCAGAGCCATGAACAAATTTTTAAAATGGCAAAAGCTCAGACACCACCCACTTTGCCAAATGGATAGTTGAGAAATCTACTTATTTCTAAATCTAGCTACATTTATGTATCCTCATTACGTCTTATTTCCCCACCCCATCAAGCTCCCAAGAAAATGTATTGACAAACATTTAAAAAGTCAGACACTTACTTGCTACCATTAAACATTTTATTCAGGGCATCTCTTGATATAATATGACCACAGACCAATTTCATAGGGGGATTGTTGTCTGTTGTTTGCTGACGAAGAATGGGGCAGGCAAATATAGAGTGATACCAGCACTTTTTACCAAGGTCAACTTCAATCTGTTTTAAAGAAAAGAAAAGTAGAAAGGCCAAAATTATATTTAAGAAAATTACCCGCATGATAATATGTACTATGCATTCATCAGCTCTAGTAGCATGAATGCAACTTTCTACAGCGCTCTTCTGAAAACTCAAAGACGAATAGCCTCAGGGATTCAAAGTGTTAAATTAGCCTTCAAGATTATTGCTTGTTTTTGTTTTTTGACTCGGAGTCTCACTCCGTCACCCAGGCTGGAGTGCAGTGGCACACTCACAGCCACCCCAGTGTCAACCCACTGGGCTCCAGCATCCTTCCAAGTAGCCAGAACAACAGGCGCGCCCTACCATGCCCAGCTAATTTTTTCGTTTATTGTAGAGACGAGGGCTCATCAATTGCCCAGGCTGGTCTCAAACCCGTGGGCTCAGGCAATCCTCTTGCCTTGGCCTCCCAAAGTCTGGGATTACAGGCTTGAGTCACTGCGCCCAGCCTTCAAGATTATTTATGATATTACTTTTCAAACCAAATTCTGATGTCTGACAGAGTGTCAAAAGCAAGGCAATGCTCCAGCTGTCAAACACTCTTGAAAACTCATCAGACTACTCTAAAGAGCAAACCCACCAGAAACCACACGTTTTGCAGCACACTTAGCCAGGTGATAAAATTCAGCGTAGTAACTCCTTTCAGACCTCTTGTGTGTGCATTAGATCTTAGTTTCCCACATTGTATGTGTAATAGTCCAGGGAAACCACCTGAAATGGAGCTCTAGGCCAAATTTCAACAGAACTTTTTGCAATCTGTACCAAGCCCATGGTACTTGTATCATCTTTCTCTTTACCACAAACAAATCATACAAAAGCTAAATAATCATCTAGCAGAGTGATTGGCATATAACAGAAGCTCCACAAATGTCAATTCTGTTTTGTTTTTTTAATTCTAAATCTAAAGTGGCTACTAATACGAAAGTCCATTACCCAGACTGTCAAGAAAGTTGACAAAGTGTAACAGAACAATTCTGACAAATGACAGTCAGAACACCACCTCCAACTGCTGTACTAGCCTGACCTATATAGCTTTATGCAAACGGAAGTTTCAGTCTGCTCTGTTCCAGCAGGAAGCATCCAAGAGGCTCACAGTGCAACTGAGAAACTACTGATGCCAGCACCTGCCTCAGCACAGCAAGTGAAGGTTCAAGGTCTTTCCACTTGCTCAGATTGGCAGCAGTGCTGTTTGCATCCTGACCACACTCAGGGCCAAGAATGCACCTGTGCCTTAATCAGAAAAGATCATGGAGAAGCAGGCAGGGCAACCAACTGCCAGAGTTACCAGCTGGGAGAGCAAGGTAACTACAGATAAACCTGTGCGCAGGTGGTACAGAAAAGAAGTGAACAGCCAAACGCCTATGTCAGATCCTCAGGTCTGTGACACAACCATAACAGGAAGGTGAATTCCAGGCAAGACTCTTCATGCCTGTCAGGGGTCTGGTGGAAACACACACTCGAGGCCTCTGCCACTCTGCGTCACAACTGCACCATGGCAGCCACAATGTGAGTGCCTCTAGGCGTCCCACATTACACTTAGCAAGCTCATGTTATCTCCAGTCTTTAGCACCCCCATAAAGAGAAGGCTAGTCCCTACGTAGAGATGCACGTTTTACTGCTTACAGGAGGTGCAGGGCTAGCAAATGATTGGTGGTGTGACAACCACGGTCCTTTCCACAGCAGAGTGGACACCTAGCACTGGCAGTCCACTGATGACTGCAGGTGTTGGGAGACCACCTTTCCTTTTACAGCCCTCTAACTTGTTTCAATTGCTACTAGAAGAATAGCACCAGTACAAGCCTATGATCTCATTAACACCAACACTTAAGACAAAACTAAATCTAGCTGAACTGATGTACTGCATTTTTATGATTAAAAAAAAATTACAGGAGTGGCTGGTGAACAGCACTGCAGAACACACTGCACGCTCAGTGCACAAGTCCTACCACTTCTAACGTTTTCCTTCATGAGCTTTCAAAGCCACTTAAAGTTAAAATCCTAAGAACACTCCTCCAGTGCCCCCAAAATATACAAGCTTCCTCATTTCTACTGTTTAATTGTGTCCACATATGGATATAAAAGAACTGTTAAACGGTGACAATAATGTTTTCTGGTTAACAGGTAGGATGGACATCCTAATCCCTAAACATCCACATTCTTCTAAAGGCAGGAAAGATAAACAGTCAACAGAAAATGAACTCACAGGTAATTCGTCTTTCTGGTTCCAAACTCCAGTACACTGTCTCTGTTCAATCACAGCTTTGATGTTAATTAAAGCTGGCAGTGCCACACAACCTGCTGAGAAACTGGGAGAGCAGACGAAGCATCAGTGCCCAGGCCACTTGGTCCAACAAGATGTCAATGTCTCCTGACCCCGTGTGCCGCAGGCCCTAGTCACTGGGCAGGAAACAGAGCCTTCTGCTCTGCTAAAAAGCAAGCCTAGGTTCTTAAACTTCTTGGTTTCAGGGTCCCTTTACAAGCTTAAATATTAAGGATCTCAAAAAGCTCTTATTGTTGCAGGTTGTACCAATCACTACTTAATGTAGAAATTAAAACTGAAAAGCTTAAAAGGTACAGGTTAATTCATATTAAAATGAACACTATGTAATAATAAGTAACATTCTTGTAAAAATATCTATACTTTACAAAACAAAAATACATGTGTGAGAAGAGTGGCATTGTTTTTACATGTTTACAAATCTCTTTAATGTCTGTCTCAACAGAGGATAGCTGAATTTCTGATGGCTTACTCTTCACTCAATCCATTGTGATAAGCTCTTTAGCTCAAAGTACTTGAAAAACATTTAGCCTCATACAGATTCACAGTACTTTAAGAGCCCTTCAGATCTTTGTGGACATTTCTCTTTAGCACCACATCAAACTGACAGGTGACAGTTTTCTAAAAGTTACTTGCAGAGTAGAATCTGAAATCTTGTCATTTAATTTTTTGTACTCTGCTACATTAAAATCCGTCTCATACTTTGATTGTTTTACTCATGCAGGATTTTGAAAGATCAAAGTGAATTGAGACCTTCCAAATGTTTCATTCCATTACACAATATAAAAAAAAAATTTGCTAATGTCACCACCAATCTCATCAGAAAAGCTTTCAAGTAATGGGAAGTTGACAAGATTACAGTGGAGGGTACATTTTCCAAATTTCAATTTTTGAACTTCCCACTCAGGGACACCAAAATAAAGTATGATGATTATCTTGAGAAAAAGCACCTGTAAGTTGTTTTGAATTATGATATAACCAGTCACTTTTTTTCATGGAACACAGTTTTTTACTTGAAAGAACTGCTAACAGACAAACTATAGTTATTCACACTCAGGTTTTTGGCAGTAATTTTATTCTTATTTTTTAAGAGATGGAATCTTGCTATGTTGCCCAGGTTGGATTTGAATGCCTGGGCTCAAGCAGATAAACAAACCATAATAACAATTAAACAAACAGAAACCGTGAACTTTAACAATGCGGCAAAAAATACTGTCAGCTGCTTTTCTTGCTGTGGCTGGCTTATTTCATTCATTTAAAAAAGTGCCCAGGTGTGATGGCACGGGCCTATAGTCCCAGCTACTCAGGAGACTGAAGTGGGAGCACTGCTTGAGCCCAGGAGTTCAAGTCTGACCTAGGCAACACAGCAAGACTCCATCTCTTAAAAATAAAACAACTGCCAAAAACCTGAGTGTGAAAAACTATAGTTTGTCTGGTAGTAGTTCTTTCAAGTAAAAACTGTGTTCTGTGAAAAAAGTGACTGGTTAGCTCGTAACTTAAAACAACATACAGGGGCTTTTTCTCAAGATAATCAGCTTGTCTTGGCATGAAACTGAAGTGCTTTATACAAACTTCCCATTTTGTCATAGAAAATATTAAAAAGAAGTGTACTCAAAGATCAAGATTTAATAAAACTGATCATTTTTAATGCTTCACTAAGAGCGTTCTTAAGCAAAACTAGCATCTCTTAAACTGCGAGTACTTGTGGAGTTTGGTGCCACTGCCCCGACTTGTGCTAAGGCTCTAGCAGTTTGGCCCATCACTGTTTTGTAGCATGTGTGTGAATGTCACCACAGTAAAAGAGGCTCTCAGGACCCCCAGAGGCTCACAGACAACACTTTGGGGACCGCTGCTCTAAAACTGTGGCCATCACTTGAAATACCAATTGCACTCTTCTTCACAGAGACACAAGTTCTCTTGGTTTTAAACACCAAGAACTGGACGACGAGTGAGGGAAACTGACTCTTGCAGGGCGTATTTCAATCACAGGCAAGGTCAATCTCCATACCTGACACTGAGAGGAGATTCCACAGAGAGCCCCAGGAGGGCACAAGCATCTCGTGTAAAAATGTCACAGATGTCGGCCCACTGGTTTGCGTCGAGCAAGTGAACATATGGTGAGTTCTCAATTCCCTGTCTCAGGTACACGAGGCTTCCCATTAAAACCTGAATGTCTAAATAGAAAGGCATCAGTAAAAAAGCATCAGAGTTTGATTGCACGTAATAGACCAAGAAAGGCAAGAATACTCCTATCCAAGCTAATACAGCCTAAAATAATATACTGACAATGTCTTTTAAAATTCTGGTCCTTAAGCTTTTCTTCTTCACTCACCCAAAATTAAAGAACAGCACAGAGAGACAGAAACAAAAGAAAGCACTGAAAATACTGAACTTACAATTTAGAAAATCTTATCCACATTTATTATCCAGAGGAAGAACAATGATGTCATCACGAATCTCTGGCTGCAGAGCTAACCAGTACTCCACGATGACGCGTGGGGTTAACAGCTGCCACCGTGGCTCTCAGACACTCTGTGGTGGCAATAATGGCAGCAGAAGGCTGGGTACACACTTTCTCAGGTCTCCTCTTAGTTGAATATGGAATCCCTAAATCTGCAGTCTCTCTCTCTGAATTCACATTCAAGAGGTTTAATGTTTCCCTTTTGTTCTAGAGCCAGCCAGAGCTTTTTCTGTGATTATTACCTACCATTGTTTTAGTTTATTAAGCAAATATGTATTAGATCTAGTTAAGATAAACTGTTAAATTACATTAATGGGTATAGTCCTGTTCCAACATTAAACACATCGGATGCCACACTCACCTTTTTGATGATTTAGGGCAAAAGGCTGAAAATTTTTAGCATATTGTAATGCCTCTCGCTGATTTGTAGTTCCACCCATTAACAAGCTAATAAAATACAGTCTGTGCAGTTTGAACTCCAAGGAGCTGTTTTGGGCTATAAGCATTTCTCGGTTTGATACCGCCCACCTAAAGAAAAGGCAAAAAGTATTTTAACAACAAGCAAAAGTATAAATAAGCAAGGTATGTGAAAAAATTGTTTGAAACCCCGTAAAAAAGGGGTTTGGTCTGCCATCTTATGGAGATCTGTGGTAACATCAACCTCAGGCTGAGACTTGGAAGGAAAATCAACACGGATGGCAGACACCTCAAGAGGCCAGGGAAAGACAAAAAAATTATCAAGTCACATGACAGTTACACAGTAAGGTTTCACAATGACTCTGACGTGTCACCTGAACTTGTACTTGAACTTGCATCAGGTCATGGTTTTGTTGGGTTTTTTGGTTCGGTGTCTCACTCTGTCACCCAGGCTGGAGTGCAGTGGTATGCTCACGGCCACCGCAGCCGGGACCTGCTGGACTCAGGCAATCCTTCTGCCTCAGCCTTCCAAGTAACTGGAGCCACAGCTGTGTGCCACCACGCCCAGCTAACTTTTTTTGGTTTATTGTAGAGATGCAGTCTCACCAAGTTCTCCAGGCTGGTCTCAAACCCCTGGGCTCAGGGGCATGAGCCATCGCGCCTGGTGTAGGTCATGTTTTAAAATGGGTGTAGATCCACTGCTCCTCTCACTTACAACTGGCTTATTTATACAGGAATCAGAGATTCCTTTTTTAGTTCATTTTTAATTTGATTTAAAATTTTTTTTTTTTTTTTTTTTGAGTTGCAGTCTCACTCTGTCGACCAGACCGGAGTGCAGTGGCCGCTCCTGGCCACCGCATCCTCGACCTGCTGGGCTCCGGCAATCCTTCCGCCTCAGCCTTCTGAGTAGCCGGAATTACAGGTGCGTACTACCACGCCCGAATGATTTTTTGATTTATTGTAGAGATGAGGTCTTGCTGCCCAGGCGGGTCTCGAACCCGCGGGCTCAGGCAATCCACTCACCTCAGCCTCCCAAAGGTGCAGGATTACAGGCTGAGCCACCGAGCCCGGCCATTTTTAATTTTAGAGGAATCAAAAATTCTGAAGGGAAACCATTTATTTTTAAACTTTCAATATCTGCAAGATATTGTGCTACTCACTTTGAGATTAAAAATTATAAACCTAGGCAGGGCACAGTGGCTCCCACCTGTAATCCCGGCACTTTGGGAGGTAGAGGCGAGAAGACTGTCTGAGGCAATCAGGGGTTCAATACCAGCCCAGGAAACTTGGCGAAACCTCATGTCTGCAAAAATAAGAATAATGATAATTAGCCAGCTATGGTGGCGTGCATCTGTAGTTCTGGCTACTTGAAAAGCTCAGGCAGAAGGACTGCCTAAGTCCAGCAGGCAGAGGTTGCGGTGGCTGTAAATCGTGATGGCGCCACTGCACTCTGACTCAAAAACTAAAACTGTAAACCTAGGTTATTTCCTCTCAATGTACTTTCACTCGAATCAGGAAGATGAAGCTAGACAAATAGCATGTTTCACTGTGCCAAAGTGATTTGTACAAGCATAGTGGTAGTAAAAGAAAAAACAAGATTTAGTTTCAAATTATCCAAAGTACAGCAATTCAGACTCTATAGTATGACCAGCTGCAGTAACACATCTTGACTAGCAGGTCAGGTGAGGACTAAAACAGAAAAATGTACAGTTAACTGTTAAATTTTGCAACAAGGTGCTAAGAAAACATTATTTCTCTAAACATATTAAAACACAGAAGTTGTTAGTATCACAGTCTCTAATTTGACTGTCAATTGGACATATATCCCCCACCGAACCTAATTCACCAAAGACAAATCTGAGAAACTCCAAACACACTCCAAGAGAAAAATCTTCCAAGGGATTCCTAATGAATCAGCTGACTGGGACTGGACTTCCCAGAGCTGCACTTTTACTGGCTCCTAACCTCCCAAAAAGGGCTGCACATGCACATTAAACATTCTAATGAATGCGTTGCATTAACATCTTGGCGTTATATCATGACGCTTCTCTGGCCTCAAAGTCACAGTGATTTTTTAAAAATAGTAATCATCTGGATTTTGGAAATACGTACTTTGTTTGCTAGCCTTGGACCACTGCTTGGCACTAAGGTGAATCCAGTCAAGCTGCAGCACTAAGTCTGGCAAGCCTGTGGACACCAACAAAGTACTTCCAGCAGCGACCTTCTGTGACTGTCCCACACCAACCACTGTTGCCAACAACACTGGGCTCTCTGCCACCTCCCTCTAGTCTGTTAGGCACCTTATGGACTTTCAGTTCCAAGGAGTACATTTAAATAGGGCCATCTTCCAAAAGTTATTCCAGCCCCCTCCGGCACAATGTTTCCTTACTCTAGCATGTCAAGAGAGGCAGTAAGCTTTTTATTTTTATCTCTTTCTGACATGAGGCATATATGCAAGAGTTTATAAGGTCAAAGGTGGTGCTAAACAGAGCAACTACAAATTTCAATGAAAGACGAAAGCCAACGGAAAGAAGGAAAAGCTCACAGGCAGACAATTCACAAAAGAAGACAACAATCTATCTCATTTCATAGAAATGCATTCACAATACTGTGTTAAGTAGGGGAAAGTGATCTACAGAAAAAACCTTTCGGTCACCAGAATTTTAACAGTAATGACTCCAAGACTTCAAATGCTACAGCATGGGCTATGACTAATCAAAACAAGACACCAGCGAACTGAAACCACCAGGAAGACACACCAATCAACAGCAGCCGGACAGCAGTCCATGTTACAGTGATTTCTACAATAATCTATGCTGTCCTATATTTTTCAGGTTTTCTATACATTACTTTTATACTTAAAAAAGGTAATAACTTTCAAGCTAATGCAAAAGAAAAATTTATTAACTTCCTTTTTTCATCAAAGGGTCAATAAAGTAACTACAAATTACTTTTCATAAAAGTGATTCAGGTCATGAAGTATGGATCCAAGCCTTTCAACCTATAAATATCCGTAACTCCACTTATCTTGAAGAGGTGTTTGTTTACACAATGTAATTTAACTTACTACTTGAATTTATTTTTAAACAGTTTCAAATTTTGCTATAAACATGGCTACATAATAACCAGGAAAAGATGAGCATTGCCTAATTCCACCCTCCTCCCCACCAAGAAATGTTTAGGAAAGCAAACAGATACCCTTACAAAAAGAAACTGGGACAAAGGGGAGAACGCAAAACCCAAATCCATGGAACACAAATGTTCACATTTATTAAAGTGGTGTTTTTTTCCATCCTATTCTGAAATAATATACTGTCTTCATTTAACTTAGTAATATTTTAGATTAAACCTCACAAGGCAAGGGATTTCTATGTTTCTCCCCCTCTGACAAATGTAATTTTTTTTAAGTAAGGATGATACACAGTACCATGTTTTTATTCCTCCAAATATGTAAGCACATATAAGCGTAAAGGCGAAACCCTTGTCTGACAGGACATCTCTCTCATACCCCCAAGATGGTACCCGGGAACCCATATTTGTATTTTCTTGACTCCAATTCCCTGGCCAGGTAAGCCAAGGTTTTACTTACAGTTACTCTCTGCAGTTACCTCCTCATAAGACAGTCAATTTCTCTTAAAAAAAAAAAAACCTATGACCTCTTCACGATCCTATGCCTTTTGCTAAGTTCTTGACAGGGTTGCCTTCTATAGGGATCATCACAACATCCACTTTCATCAATCCTTGGAATCTGGGTACAAATTTCACAGCAGCATCCTTATTCATGACAGCAGTTTCCCAGATAACTTAACATGAGTCAATTCATGACAACTTCTGAAAATGATGAAATCATCTTTTTTTTTTTTTTTTTTTTGAGTCAGAAGCTAGAGTGCAGTGGCATGCTCCCAGCCACCACAGCCTCGACCTGCTGGGCTCAAGGCTATCCTTCCACCTCAGCCTTCCAAGTAGCTGGAACTACAGGCATGCGCTACCATGCCCAGCTAATTTTTTGATTGTAGAGACGAGGTCTCCTAAAGTTGCCCAGGCTGGTCTCCAACCTGAGCTCAGGCAATTCTTTCGCCTCGGCCTCCCAAAGTGCTGGGATCACAGGCTTGAGCCACTGTGCCTGGCTGAAATCACGTTTTACTGGTATAAAAGTTCAATATCCTTGCAAGTACCACTTTCTTTCAATGAGGCAACTAACTTCAATCTCTGCCTGAATGTTAGCCAAACTGATAAATTTTTTTTTTATATACTGTCTCTGATCAAAAGCAGAAGCAATTGGGCAACCCCTTTCAGGTCCCCTCCCACTGTCCTGGTAATAAATCCTACTTTCTTAAAAAAAAAAAAAAAAAAGTAGAAGCAATTGCTGTATTTAAACCATACGCATCTTTCTGTTCTAGTGCCATTTAAGCAAAAAGATGTTGAAGCAACTTTACCCTGGTTTTTCTAGTCTCAGGTCTTTTCCAGAATGTTTGTACCACAGTTTCTTGCCAGTTGAGGTCTTGACCTTGCTTGGCTTTGCTGTCTTCTCACATCCAATTTCACTTCTACCAATTTGTCTTTGTTGCCAACTCCCTTTCAACGATCCATTTTTGTAAAATGTCACGTAGGTTTTTCACTGAGAGACAAGGTGTCAAGCAACTACACATTTGCTGTCTTGAGGGTAAATGGACATGAGATGCACAGTGACCAACCACTGGCTCAGGAAGAACTGACATGACTGGTCGTGACCATGATGCGCAGATGTTACTTACATGATGATCTATGAACTGAGAGAATGGACAGAGACGTCTGTACTTATGCAATTACTCACAGTTGATATACTGTGGTGACTGAAATTTGAACCACATTGTTGGAAGCCTAGTGCCATTTAACTAAACTGTGGTAAATGAAATGTATGCATATTGGAACCGTGCAGAGAGGTCTGCCCAGAGGTCCAACAGAGAAGAGAACATGAGAGAAAGAACACAGGGATCTCAGAGACAAGGTTACTTTATGAAGACAAGGAAGGCCCGGAGGGGTAGGTACAATGAGGAAGAGGCGAAGTTCGAGGCCCTGAGGAAGACGGGGTGTGTGTGGCCCATTAACAAGAAACCTGAAGAGTCGGAAAG